TATTAACATTTTTCAAAAGTGTTTTATGGTAAAACTTAAACGTGATAAGAGTTACGTCGTTAATTTTATGATTTTCGTAAACTACATGATCTATGGATAATATGGCATACATTTTTGATAACATAAATCAATTTTAAATGGTGATAAATAAAACTTAAAAGAGTGTTCTTCTTACGGGACATCCGGTCTGAAAGGAATGAGTATAGCAAATCAAGTAATAACAAAGTATATGGATACCTAAAAATTAAATATAACTTAATGAGAATAAAAAAAAAAGAAAAAAGTATAATACTTATTTTAAATTTATTAACCGTGTGATTTAATTTTCTACCGTTATGCTTTTCTACCTATATAGTATAGATAAACATAATATTTTTATGGAAATTATTAGATAAACTAAAAAAAAAAAAAAAAACCCACTAAGAATCAACTAACCGTAAACCGACTCTCCGGGGATAATTAATACTTTACTTTAGTACATATATAGGTATCATAACAAATGGCTTCAATTTAAACGTTGTCATTGACGCACATTAAATTATAAAATTTACCGTTTTGAGTATTATACTTGAAGTTTATTACATTATTATTTTTGGACGAATATTGAACAGGAGAGTACTCAATTGTTGAAAAAGTCGACAAATACCGGAATGAAAATATAAAACAATATTTATTCCGCACTAAAATATAAAGTATAAACCGGACGTGTCGGGTAATATTTTAACGGTCCAATATCAAGTATGCGTCGAGTTTTTGATGTCACCTACATTTTAATGACATTAAAAAATACAAACGAAACGCAAACTTCAAATTAATTGCAGGACGAGCCGGAGGGAGAGTTTTCGGCGTTGTTTTCGAAGAGATGTTAGTTTCGTATTATTATTTCGAGGGGCAAGACGCGGAAAATAAATAGAATATAAAGACCGGCGTGCAGTGCACGGGAAACGAAGGTGAAAATGAAATGGACTTCGGACGGAGGATTAAACAATATAGCAGTGTATAGTGACTGAAACGTTCCTTCTCGTGATCCTATCTGGAAAACTATCATTCTCTAGGAAAAATATACGCGCCGAGCACGTTTCTAAGTTTCTCTTTATTGTTTTCCTTAAACGAACGTGTCTAAATCTACTTTGAGGATGAATACGCGCGAAACGTAACTGCTGCGGCACAGCTGCGGGGGAAAAGAATGGAATTAAGAAAAGAGAAAAAAAAAAAAGAAAAAGAAAGAAAAAAGTCCTTTTGACAATATTACGTCGGCGCGTTATCCATAATAAGATAAATAAAATAAAAAAAAAATGTATATACATATATATATATATATGTGTGTGTATATATATTTTTTGTACATAGGATTATCATAAATACAGTATAATGTATAATAGCCGTCGAACCGTGTGAACGCGCATTAAAGATTTCAATTTACAAAAACGATTGTATATTTTGTTGAAAGTCGTTAAATATTTCGTATGCGATTGGTTATAATTGTATACAATTATATTTTGTATTGTCTAGTCTCTGTTATAATGTAATTATGCGAATTCGTAACGCAATACTATTCAAAACCTGAAGGTTGAAATTATAAAATCACGAATCAAGAAAATTGATTTTCAAATATGTAGGCATACGATCCGAATATAATTTAAAAAGAAAATTCGTGGAAATTCGTACAAAACATTATAAATGTATAAAAAATAAGTCCCTATTCGATCCGGACCAGTACGGTACGGTTCGGCGTTTTACAGTCGGGAACGAAACGGCCTGGTACGGTTCCGTGGTTTGTTTAATCAGTCCAGTCCGGTCCTAATCTCAATTTTACATCACTAATCTGGCCGGGTCTTTGGAAAACCCGGCGGTGCAAAGCACTGCTATATGAATATGATGTAGGCATGCGATGTTTTTTTTTATTTTTGTTTAAACATTTTTTTTTTTTTTTTTTTTCACGAACCGTGTTTAAAACAATTTGCTAATAACTGCCAACCTCGGTATGAACGTTGTCAAATAAGTTACGGAAATAATTCACTGTCAATTTTTCTGCGAAATGCACTTTTTTTTTTATTTTTAGGACGCCTTTTATTTCATTTTTTTTTCACACGGATAAACAAAATGTGTATCACTCGATTTTTATTTTAATATAAGATACGAGAGTGCTACTGTGTATACCTATATCTAATAGTTTTTTCTCCTGCTCAGTTGTGATCCGTTCTTTAAAGGGGGAAAAAATGTTGATGGAAGTATGAAGTTAACAATAATTTACGAGCATCGTAGGGGAAACTTTCCCGTGTGCTCTGCAGAGCGAGCACTATCATCGCGGTATGTCGCGACCCTTTTTTTAGATTAAGAACCACCAAGACGAATTTGCCAGTCAAATAAATTCATTTGTGTCTGCGATTTATAATATACCACGAGAAAACTTTTGTGCGAGCGTACAATATAGTATAGAGCTGGTCCTAAATCATTTTTTTCCCGATATCCGATATTCCGGTACGTGTTGCCGATATAAAACCGATAAGTAACCGATCCGATATTGTATTTCCTTGGATCCAAGGGCCGATAAAAGAAAAAAAACTACACAGTTTTTCAATAACCGGTATAGAAATCTCGTTAAATATCAAACACATCACAGATTTCTGCAGGGATAATCGATACCATCGATGAATGAGAACATTATAATAATTAAAGCATTATCCAATGTGTATTTACTATTCGCCAGGTCGTCGCGTACCTATAAATACACCTTGGCAACGGTTCGAAAAAAGCCAATAACCGATGAACCGACTGTACCAATATTGGTTATCTGTATCGACCCAGCTCTATAATATAGTAGGTATGTGCCGTAATTGTACCCTCTGGCCGCGGGATACGGCCAGAGAAAGCCGCCAAGTGCGTCTTGGTCGTCGAGAGAAGCACACCCCGGAATTCAAGTAAATTATGTCGAGGTTTTTTTTTTTTTTTTTAAATAAAAGATAAAAAAAAAAGTTTAACGGCCGGGCCGGGGCGAAAGTTATACTGCGAATAGTAAGTTGTCGCGTTATTATTAAGATTTATGGTCTGTAACGAGGAGAGAAATTATTGCGCCATTGCGGGCGGAACAATTTTCGACGATGATAATAGTATTAGCTGATCTAACCCCTTCTACATACATAATGTATACACATTATGAGTATTATAATATTAAACCACATTAGGTAATTTGTATTTTAAAATATCATAGAAAACACGTGTAAAGTTAGGATACGACTTTACTCGTTGACATTTTTTTTTTTGTTAGTTTTACGTTTAGCGAAGTTAAACTGCATTAACAGTACTTACGCCAGAGGTATTTTGAATTTTCGTTATTGTTGAATCTGCGTGTAAATATAATGCGAACGTTTGATATTATTTTATAAAAACCGAAAAAAATTACACGTCGTTCGATGTATTCATTTGAATATAAAAAAAAAAAAAAAAACCTATATGGAATTTATTACAGAAACCCACGAATACAACAGCTTTAGAGACGTCGATATCAACGTAAAATATTTTACCGGTAAATTTACCCGAGATTGTTTGGATTTATTTTTTCGGAAAATCTGCGATCTACATGCAAAATCAACCGAACAAAACCACCGACGTGGTGTTTTGTAAATTTCAATCTAAAACCTCGTGGATCGTATTCGCAACGATTTCTGGACGCTTCGCAGCCACTTCGGCCGCGGCGTTACCGGCGTGAGTCGACTGTTCGAAAACAACAATGCCCGTCGACCGAATGTCATTGCGCGCGGCGCAGTTACGCGACATGGGAACGAAGGGTGACGGGGAAGGTGGTGGGGGGAGGGTTGCGGGTCGCTCGATTTTCGATCGATCGGAAAAAAATAGAAAAACCCGACCGGGCGGGGGAAAAATAAAAAAAAAAAAAAAAACGTCGGTGAAATTTCCGTTAATAACGATGTCGTTATATTGTTGCGTGCGGAAAGTCGGCCGCGCGCGGTTCGGATGTTTAACACAATGTCGCGGCGCGGGTATAATGGCCTACACGCACGGTCGCCCGCGCGCGTGTTAATTATTGAACTTTAATTTGAATTTATATCGCGGGGCCGCGGGTCCGGGGCGCGCCGCGCCGCGCCGCGCGTCGAGCCGCCACGTTTGTTTATCGTATTCCGTTGATTAATTTATCGGGAACTAACGAGAAAACGTTAATTGAACGCCGGTATTTTATCGCGTTGCCGGGCGGCGAACGTTCGCAGCGGTTTCCGATATTGATTTATACGCGTGAGCATTGCGCGAACGGACAACACCGCCGGCGCGACATTACCGGCCGGGCGGTGTTTTTTTTTTTCATTCCTTAGCTCGGGGGACGAAAAATTTCGAAAAATTTCGCCGGGCCGCTCGCCGCCTCACCCCCCCCCCCCTCCGACCCGCCCGCCCGCGTAGCGTTTTATTTTCGCCCGCGCGAACGTCCGCGGATTCCGCGAAAGTCCGTCGTCACCGCCGTCACCGCGACGTTTGCCCACGACCGTTTTGCAAACACCGCGGCGCCTCCGCCGGTATTTCGCGATGACGATCGCTGTTGTTTTATCAACGGGCGTTTTGCGCGGCCGAAGATTATAATATTATAGGGTCTTATGCACATGATATACATGTACACTATCGTATGCGCGTACGTATTGTTCGACGTCATTTTCATATACACAAACTTTAGCGATGCTCGTTTAAAGCTGTTTCGAGTTTAACTCCTCGCGCGTATGTACAGAGTGAAAGCGAGACAGTGAGAGAGGGGGGGGAGGAGGAAGAGAATATGTTTCGCGATGATTCGGAGGGGAGAGCGCAGAGGAGCGGGAATACGGAAATATTATTATCGTTAATAACACTCGTGTCTGCTTATATAGCTGACGGTAGTATAACGAGTAGGTACGTACACCGCCGGTCGTGGAGTACCTTTTAGTCGGCAAATAATAATAAAGGGTTTGACGGTTTCGACGGAGAGAGAGATACGGATAGATAGACGGATATATATATATGTATATTTATAGAGAGAGAGAGAGAGAGAGAGAGAGAGAGAGACAGTGGGATAGAGCGGGAGAGAAGTATTGTAACCCGCTCTAATACTTTACTAAAATATTACTGCGCAGTAATAGCGCAATAGCGATTTGTTATTTTTATATTTTCTTCCCTCTCTCTCTCTCTCTCTCTCTCTCTCTCCGTCGCCGTCTCTCTCTCGTAAATAATAATTACGAGTAAAATAATAACAACGCGAGTTTTATTATTACAAGTACACACCTGAACAATATAGGTACATAACTATAATAATAATAATAATAATATAAAATCGGATTTGCCGATTTTGTACATTTTTCTTTCCCACCCCCCTTCCCCCCGAGATATTTATTACGACGTTATGTACTTACAAGACACTGCTGGGGACCCTGTCTGTTGGGAGACATAGCCTTCGCTACCGGTTTTGACCGCCTCGACATGGTTAACTTGTTTAAATCCGCTGACTTAACGTCTTCCGAGCTGCCGACTAGAAAAACAAAAAAAAAACAAAAAAATGAATATTGTTAGCAAATCGCGTTATTTTCGTTCTCGTGTTATATACCGCAGGTTTCGATATTATCAACTGTCATATTAGTATAATACACTGACAACGAGTAAAATGGCATTTGCAATTCATAGTATGTGTAATTGTAATTGTGATTGCACGTGAAACGCGTAACGGTTATTCCGTATCAGACTGGAAAATTCAGATTCGTGAAATACTGCAATAATAATATAATATTTCACATTGTATAAAAAACGAAAAATTCTATTATAGTATAATACTGTCTTGCTGCACAGCAGTAAGCGTTTGACACTTATTCGCGTGCGTTTTTATATTATTTTAATTTATCGTATACAACAGCAATATAAGAAGTCCCGCCATAAATCAGTAGAAGAAAAACTGCAAACGATAGCGTAAAACTTAAAAAAAAAAAAAAAAACATTTCTACGGTGTCGCGGATACGAGAACTTAAGCCACGACGATCTCTCGTGCCCAAGATTTAGAGCTCAGCGGAATTATTTCGTGTAGTGTAACGTTATGATTTAGGGGGCTTTGTGCCGGTTTTCGATATTTTCTTCGATTTGTTTTAATGATCGCTATAAAATCAAGACCTTTCCGCTAACACGATGCCCGATACCCTTGTCTAGGGGTACGGGATACGGCCGTTTTTTCGGACGAAAATGACTTCGCGGCGAATCGAGATGGTTCGTCGAAAACATAATATTATATTCCTTCCATTTTTAATATTATTATTTTTTTAATCGATAAACAACAACGTTCGAAAAGGTATACCCGAGAATTAGTTACACCCGAAAAAAACTGCCTAACGTCAATGTTATCGCAGAAGAAAATTACGGAAATCCAATAAGTTGAGACCTACGGATCACCCGACTAGACCAGCTCCCCCCTATCTGCACCTATACTAACGTTTTTTGTTTTGTTTTTTATTTTGTTGAACGCGTAACGTAATAATATCGTGAACAGGGACGTAGCCCGCAGTAGGTAGGCCCGGAAGTCCCGGGCCTACCCCGATTTTCTATTAAAAATGAAAAAAAAAAACAATAATGAATAAAATAATACACCGGTTGATTGTTGTACTCGTATTTACAACAGTATTAGATGTTTAAATAACCGGAGAGAAAAGCATTTTTAGACTGTGAATAATTATGCAATTTCGCAAAAAAATTTCATTTCGTTTCGTTCCAGTGAATTTTTTGTCGAATTAAAATATCAATGCGCATCGGGTTGAACGTTATTGTCATCTCGTCTTTCTGAATTGTTTTACCAAGAACAAAGTTATCGCGTTGGATTTTAAGAACTAAAAGAAGTAATTGAACTAGTCATTGCAATTCCCGTACCTAGTTCTTCAGTGGAAAGTTTTAGACCAAATTATTTGACGTTATATTCCATGGAAATAAGTGAGCAATTCATGGACAATCCATTGGCTGTTGTTGACGGGTTTGCTGTCGTAAAAAATATGCGATTGGAATATTTACTTTGAAAATATTTTATAAACGGACAATACGTATATTGTGAGTTACGAGTATCGTAATTATAATTTCGTTCTGTCGAACTCTGTCGCATTCGGACTGATGCGAATTGCGCCATTTGAAATTACCCGCTCGTTCGTCGGTCCGATTTGTTTTACGTTATCAATCGTTAACGAGAACAACCGTTGACGAAACGTCGAAACAGACGGGAGGCCAACGCGAGAACTCGTGATGAGAGTGTCCGTTCACGCGCAGGGAGTTCGGTCGGCCGGGCCTTACCCGGTACCAGGAGATTCCTCGCTGCGCCGGGCTAACCGCGGCCCGGGGGGGGGGGAGAGGGGGGCGCGTTCGTACACGGTTTTCGGGCGTAGCGGTATTTTCCCGGCGCGGCAGATTCGTTTTGTTTGTTTCGCGGCCGCGTGGCATTAACGAGAGAGACCGTTAATGGATGCGTAACAAACGGTTTTGGACGGCCGTCGCGGGGCCGCCGCGGAGTGCGTACGCCCGCCGTGTTAGTCGTCGTTCTTAGCGCGCCGCCGCCGCCGCCGGCCGTACGCACGTCACACGCTCATTAACCCCGCGGAGACCGTAATCCCGGGCACTCGACGGCGACGACGACAACGGCAACGGCCCGGGCGACAAAAGCAAACAACAACGACAACGGTAACGACGCCGGAGACGTCGTCGGTGCGGCGCGTTGTCATGCATTCGGCCGGGCGCGGCGTTCGCGGGACCGCATGGCGGAAAATCGGCGGTTTTCGGCCGGCGGACGGAAAATGCGACGCCCACTCGACCGCGAGAAAATAGGCTGCTGGGGGGGGGGAGGAGGAAACCGACGGGCGAGGAGCGGAGCTCCGTCGAATTTCGTTCCTGCTCTTCCACCAGACTATTTTTTTTTTTTTTTTTTTTAATGGCTATTTTCGCCGCGAACCGCTACCGAATAACCGGACAGACATACTATAATAACGCACCACCGCCGGCGGATCCGTAGGAGGGGGGCCCGAGGCCTCGGTCTTCCCATCCGTCCGGACTTTGGACCGCGTACAAGTTTTTACTCCCGCGAATAATTAACCGTTCGACGCGCACGCGATGCGAGAAGAGATTCACGGAAGAAAAGCGGAGCGGAGCGATTATTGTACTGTGACGTATCTATTGCGTTTTTCGATTTTTGTCCGCGAACGGATTTTCTATCGGAAATCCCGTTCCGATGAGTTCACGGTGGTTTATATCGGCGCTTACAGACATAAATGAAATGCCCTTTGGCGTCCTATACCTTCTCAACTTCCCACGCACGAGAGTGGCTGCACCCAGTCCCGGTGTATAATCCCAAAGTACAACTCTGGATCCGCCACTGCCACCGGCGGTACGCAGAAGGCCGGCGTGACGGCAATACGGAAATATTCCCACAAATGTTTTGAATCTACCGGTGTTTTACGTTTCGGTTGAAACATCACAATTATACTTTTTACATAATTCTATTGTCATATAATTTTACTGTTTTATGTTTTTATGATTTTGAAATGAATCCGTAGGCGTTTTGAATAGTACAATCTGTTTTGCTTTTTTTCGTCCCAAGCGGCACCGTGACACTATTTATACGCGAGTGAAAAAACAAAAAATAAAGTGCATCGTTTCGTTGAAATCCGAGCCCTAAAATTGTAATAACCTCTTCCATTTGTGTGCATTATTATAAACGGGATTTTCTATTATTTTCTCCGGGAGACCGAGAGTGCATTCTACCGGGCCGTTTTAGAGTTTTCCGGCCGTGAGGTATTCGAGTAATTGCGTACGTCCGTCGGATGGGAATTTCGTTCTTCGACGACAGCTGGCGTTTTCCGCTGCAGGTATACAACGACCGCGAGTAATAACAAAATCGACAAACACCGCAATCTTCCCGACAGTAAGTATAAATAGCAGTATAATAATAGTGGCCGCGCGTAACTGATCCACCCCGACAGGTCGTTGACCGGTGTCAAAATACAGACGAGTAAAAATGTACAACTGTTGCTCGTCCGTTTCTTGGATAGGTAAACGCCGTTGTATTACACGGGCGCTTTTAGAAATCGACCGATCTAAACAACTCGGCCCGAAAAATTGTGTCGTTCCGTTTCGAACCAAACGTTTTAATTCGGCGGTCGTCCTATTGTGTACCGTAATAAAATATCGCAATATGATTGCGGTGTCAAAAGCCTTACATATTAGATTCTCAGTGTAGCGACGAATGTATTGGTTTTACTGTGATAATCGTGTGGTTTTTTTTTTTTTCTGTTTCGCTGCCCGAGTAGGTAGGTACCTGTTACATGTTACATATTTTTTACCAGCGATCTCGGTCCATAATTTTAAAGAAGATTTTCCGTAGTTAATTTGTCTTTCCGTGCATTGGTGAAGTCGTTTTTTTTTATTTCCCTCGCGCCTTTTCTAATTACGAAGGGAACACGAATTTTAGTTGAAAAAACGAGAATGTCTATTCAATAAAAAAGGACTTCTATTTTTTTTTTTTTTTTTTTTTTTTATTGTTTTTATTCTGTGAATAATAAAAGTAAAGACCTGCATAAATGAAATTGAATTACCCATATATCCTAATTACTCCACTACCCCATGCATCTACAACAGAGACCTACGGTACGAAATATGTGTGGCATATTTTTATTGGTTATTTTTTTTTTTTTGTAATAGTAACTCGTAAATATATTGCGCTGTTTTATACGGAGATGCGGAATACACAATTTCAAATATTATTGCAAATAAATAAGACAAACTAATGAATTTTCGAAAACGACCGCACAAAATCTAAATCCGACGGGTCTCCGTTTCGTTTTCGGGGTCGGTTTGAATCGCACAAAATCCAACACTATAAATGATACTCGGCAATTTATTTTATATCTCCGTTTTATTCGCGTGAATTGAAACTCGATAATCTCAAACGAGGGCAAACAACAAGGGGTCGTGCGTGTATTTTCGCTTATATGATATGCTTACATTTCACATTTGCACTATACGCGAACGACGATGTAAAGTTTAACTCGCAGCAAGAGATTAAACATAATATTTTGAAAATTTAAATTACATTTTATAACCTAAGCCTTTTTACATTGAAAAGGCGTGCGCAGAAATCCGAATACGAGTTGTATACATGCAGTAAGTAATTCTCTAATTCGTAAATTCGCAGCGATTAAAATATATCCAA